CTTAGCTGAAAGAGGCTGTTGTAGTTGCTTCATAGATGATCATATTGTTTTGATCTTATCTTTTGAAATATAAAATAAGTAAATAACACGTGTTTTTATGTTTTGATTTTATATACAATATAAATAGATGTCATACTGTTAAACTGTTTTTATATTTTAAATCCAAAATAACAATACCATTCTTGTGTTTTTAGGTGCAAAATAAATATGTATAACGAATTTAAAAGTATGTAATCAGTAATTTGATATGTCGGGTGGCGCCTTTTTTTTTATGTGTTCGCTCCCCCTGACGTTAGAACCTGTCTACACCACTGCTTAGACTGGGGGAAAAGTTTCATACGGAGGTCAAACCTTGTTTTACATCAAGCAGTCCACACTGGAGAGAGACCCCATAAGGGCTTTGACTGTGGGGAAAGTTTCATACAGAGGTCAGACCTTGTTAAAAATCAGGCCCGAAAGAGTTAAGAACCTTGCAGGCTAATTGACCCAGCTTCAACCTTTAGAGACATGTTAGAAAAGTGTGTAAATGGTATTTGCGGATATTCCAAGTAATATAGATTAAAAGTTTGAAATGTAACCTGGTATTGTTAAGAAATTGGAAGAAAATAGTAGTGCTGTTCATTAATTGCAGTTAACTCATGTGATTAACTCAAAAAAATTCATCGTGGTTAGAAAAATTAAACTTGATGAATCCAATTGTAAAACAATAGACTAGCAATTGAAATTTGTTAAATGTTTTTGGATGTTCTTCTGCATTTTCATATATAATGATTTCTCCCACAACAAAGAAGAGGAAGTGTACAGTGCTCACTTTATATTATTTTTATTACAAATATTTGTACTGTAAACATTCAAAACAAAACAAAATAAAATATTTTTCAATTCACCTCATAGAAGTACTGTAGTGCAATCTCTTTATCAGGAAAGTGTAACTTAGAAACAGAGATTATTTTAATTGTATAAGTGCTCTCAAAAATAAAGCAATTAAGAACTCTAGTGTCTAGAAGTCAATTAAGTGCTACTTCTTTTTCTGCCAATCGCTAAGACAAAGAAGTTTGTTTACATTTATGGGAGATAATGCTGCCTGCTTCTAATTTATGATGTCACATGAAAGTGTGAGAAGGTGTTCCCATGGCACATTTGTAGCTGGCAATGCAAGGTATTTGTAATAAAAATATAAAGTGCTCACTGTACACTTTATATTCTGTAAAAACAACGAGGAGTCCCTATGTCATCTTAGAGACTAACAAATTTATTTGGGCATAAGCTTTTGTGGGCTATAACCAACTTCATCAGCTGCATAGAGTGTATTCTGTGTTGCAGTTGAAATCAATATATTTGAAAATGTATAAAAGATCCAAAATATTTAAATAAATGACCTTCTATTATTGTTTAGCAGTGCGATTAATCACGATGAATTTTTTTATTCGCTTGACAGCCCTAGAACATAGTAATTGGAGTAGTCTATGTTAATCTATAACAAGATATAGATAAGCAGTGTAACCAAAGGGTTCCTATCTAGGACTGTATTTTGTTAATTCAGAAGTCAAAAGAAAATATTAACATTTAGATTAAACTTGGGTGTAATAATATCATTGTATATATATCTATCTATCTTTAAAGTTTGTGCTAAACTGTCTATGAACGGCTTTATAGATAATAGATTTATAGATTATAGATAATTACCTTATGTTAATCCATGTAGTTTAATTACCTTTGATGTTTGGAAATAGGAGGTTACTTCCAAAACCTCTTGTTCCCCCAAGGACTGCCTGCTGTCGAGAGGCTGCAAAAATGTCTATATAAACTCTTGGGACCTGATCCTTTTATGTCCGATCTTAAGCTTTATTCAGGGCGAGTTTGAGTCGTAAGACTGAGATCTCCAGTCCCCTTAGGACTGCCCTGATATTGAACATTTGGACATTGGACTAGAAAGTGATGAAATTATTCTGAAAAGGACTCTCTTCAATTCTAACGTGTCATCTCTATGGTGAAACTGACCTAAGGACTCTATTTCCGTTTGTATGTCTAATGATTTTTTAGCCAATGCTATCTTTTCTTCTTTTAATAAATCCTAGTTTAGATAACAAGAATTGGCTTTAAGTGTGTACAGTAACTGCTCACTTAACATTGTAGTTATATTCCTAAAAAATGCAACTTTAAGCAAAACGATGTTAAGCAAATCCAATTTCCCCATAAGAATTAATGTAAATGAGGGGGTTGGGTTCCAGGGAAATTTTTTTCACCAGACAAAAGACTATATCTATCTATCTATCTATCTATCTATCTATTATATAAACACACACAGTATAAGTTTTAAACAAACAATTTAATACTGGTACACAGTGATGATGATTGTGAAGCTTGGTTGAGGTGGAGGAGTCAGAGGGTGGGATATTTCCCTTACTGCTAAATGATGAACTAGCAATTGCCTGAGCCCTCAAGGGTTAACTCTCTCACTCTGCAAGGCAGCAGGAATGGAGGGAGATATGAGCATTAAGCGGGGTGCAGGATCAGGGGGGAAGGGGAATACCCTGACAGCCCTCCTCTTCCTTCCCTCCCCCCCCAGCACAGCAAGCAGGCATCTTGGAGAACAGCTCTAAGGCAGAGGGCAGGAGCAGCACATGGCAGTGCGGGGAGGGACACAGCTGAACTGCAGTCAGCTGCTGCACAGGGAACTTAGGGGAGTGGGGAGCTGATAGGGGGCTGCCGGTCCACCCTGGTTCCAAGCCCCTACCAGCTCGCTCCAATGGGCTGCTCTTCCTGCAAGCAGTAGACAAAGCAAGCAGTTGCCAAACGTTAGAAGGGAGCATTGCACAACTTTAAACGAGAATGTTCCCTAATTGATCAGCAACGTAACAACGAAACAACCTAAACCTGGATGACTTTAAGTGAGGAGTTACTGTATTTGGGTAAGAACTGAAGTATTCATTAACTTGGTGAGTGATGTTTCTGATCCTTTAGGATTGGTAGAATTCTTTATATGATGAAGATTTTCAGGAATTCCCATCAGAATCTCAGAGGACATTTCCCCACATCAGTTATCGTTAAAGACTTGCCTTTGTTGCCATTCTGTCAAATCAGTTATTTTGTTTCAGCATGTCATAACCATACAGCTAAGGGTAGTCTAGAATTCCTCCTTATCTGTAAGGGGTTAAGAAGCTCAAATAACCTGGTTGGCACCTGACCAAAAGGACCAATGGGGAAAGAAGATACTTTCAAATCGGGAGGGGAAGGCTTTGTTTGTGTTCTATCTTGGAGCCAGAGAGGGACCAAGCAGAAAAAAAAAAACCTCTTAAAACCCTGCTTATGGAAATAAGCATCTAGAATGACAAAAATAGTAAGTAAAGCCAGGCAAGGCGTGTTAGATTATCTTTTGTTTTAGCTTGTGAATTTTCCCTTTGCTAGAGGGAGGTTTATGCCTGTGTTTTGTAACTTTGAAACTAAGCCTAGAGGGAGTTCTTCTGTGTATGTGAATCTTTTGTTACCCTGTAAAGTTATCTTCCATCCTGATTTTACAGAGGTGATTCTTTTAGATTTTATTTTTAAAAAATTATTTTAAGAACCTGATTGATTTTCAGTGTCCTAAGACCAGGGGGGTCAATTTGTGCCTACTTTGTAACCAATTGGTGAGGATAGTATGCTCAAGCTTCACCAGGAAAGAGGGTGTAGGGCCTGGGGGGATATTTGGGGGAAATAGGAATTCCAAGTGGTCCGTTCCCTGATTCTTTGTCTAAAGCGCTTGGTGGTGGCATCACACTGTCCAAGGACAAAGGATTTGTGCCTTGGAGAAGTTTTTAACCTAAGCTG